TTAGCCTAACACTCCCTCCCACTAAATCCACAGTGACCATATTTACAAACTGGACGAAGAAGTACAGACTGGATCTAAACATTAAAGTCGATGGCGTTAAAATTCCGACCGTCAATAACCCTAAAATTTTAGGTGTTACACTTGAATGCAAAAAATTTCAAAATCCTCAAATTGCTTGCCGGCAGCTCTTGGGGAAAAGACAAAGAAGCGTTGCTGGCAACTTACAAGGCAATCGGGCGGTCTTAAATTACGCTGCACCAATATGGTCGCCGCCATGTAGTGCAACGCAGATACAAAAGCTCTAGAACAAATGCAGTCCGGACTAGGATGCCTGTTGATGTCTCCAATCGAAAACCTATATAGCGAGGACCGTATGCTTCCAGTAAAGGAGCGTAACGAGCTCCTCCAAGCAGTTTCGGATACTGTGGCAGGTTAAACTCTTATACAAAATCGGGTCCTTTTTCGTATGGTTCGCCCCGTCGGAACAGCTCTTTTCCTGGGCCTCCCGTTAGATGACCTCGACGATAACCAAACTGAAACTTACCACCCAAGCGGAGATTAGATAACCGTTACAACAACAATATGTATTGCCTCACATGGGCCTATTGCAGTGCGAACGCATATTATGTATATAACGAAAATTGTGTATAAAATAAAATGCTTATTTAAAGCAAATATGAAAATACTTGATATAAAATAAATATGTAGAAACAATGTAGTGAAGTGTTATTGTATAAAAAAAAGAAAATTAACTATAAATCAAGAAATTGCAAGATAGGTAGGTAGGTAGGTAACGTGGTTGTTTTTCGACCCACCTAGGGCTTTAGGAGGCCCATTGTGATACCACCGGGACTGTGGTCTCCTCACTCTATTGGCTCCACTCTGAACCACCCCGTACTTCTGATGAACTTCATCAATGAGACAAGTTTTATCCGTGCAACCTCCGAGACGCCGTCAAGAAATCCATGACCGATGGCTGCGATTCTTTTCCTATATAGTGCCGCGCAATCGCATAGAAAATGTTTAATGGTCTCCTCCTCTTCTACTTCCTGACAGCTTCTACAATAGTTGTTATATGGCGTACCAAGTCTACTTGCAAGTCTGCCTAGACATTGGCCTGTTAGTACTCCTACTAGAGTTCTTATATCATTCCGTTTGAATTTTAACAGTCGGCATATGCGGCTCATATTCCATTCATGCCACGTTTGCCTGCTAGCTGAGCAAGTCAGGGACTGATTCCACTGATACTCGGCTATGTTAATGACATGTTTGTCGATTAAGGATCTAAAAGTAACCAGAGACATACATATGTCCTTCTTACCAAAATCTAGTTGACGGGTGGTGCCTGTTCTGGCTAGTTCATCTGCTACACAGTTCCTGGGGATGTCACTGTGTGCTGGGACCCATTGCAGGTTTAACGTGAAATAGGATGTCAGATCCACTGGAAGATCATGGCATTCTTTCACTGTCTTCGACGAAATCGTATGAGACATCAGAGATTTCAAAGCCGCCTGGCTGTCTGTATATATAAATATATTTCTTGTTGTGATCATACTTCTTGTCCCTACAAGACGGCTTTCTTTAATTGCGGTGACCTCCTCTTGGAAGACACTGCAGTGGTCTGGTAACCGGAAGGCGATTTTGGTATCTAGTTTAGCTGAGAAGACACCGCCGCCTACTCAGTTATCCAGTTTGGAACCATCCGTATAGATAAAATTCAGCTGCAAAATTTTCCTAATTTGGATGAATAACTAAATTATTTAGAAAACTACCTTTTGGCCTGTTATGGTGACACACTTGATAATATAACCAGTTTGAAACAAAGATTTGCATATTTAAAAAGATCTATCAAAGAAAATGGTCTAAAGCTCACAGAAAAGAAACTGTAATCCTAAAAATTAATGAGAATTGGTTCAGCGGACCTTTCGACAAATGTTGGATATCGAATGGAGCGGCCATCTTAATCATTTAAACATTGTAGTGAGAGGACTAAACGAAGGAGAACTGAAGAATTGCTCTCTACTTTCAGTGAAGACGCAATGCAGTAGTTTCGCAGTAAACACCGCACTACAGGCTCTGGGAAAAAGGAACGCTTCGAAAATACTTGGCGTTATTAAGAATTCTCCAAAACGTGAAGGGAAATACAGAAAAGTTTACAAAATAGCAGAAGAGATCGAGCAAAAATTTCTTGTCTTACACCACTGCTAGATCTATCAATGTTTGTTGAAGCGGATTTAGCCAAGCGTTACTCAGGGCAAAAAAAAATAAAGTTACCCACCCAAAGATTGTATAATTGTTGAAAATTTGATTGTAATCCATTCGTCGAACAATGTGAATATCTCCCAAACGGCTAAATTCACTGAGAACGAGCGTCTTTAACTTAGCACCTCTATCGACAGTGTGAAAATATATCGGTACTGTTAAAAACTACCGAATACGCGATAAATCAAGCACTTAATACTCCAGAGCCATAAAATTTAATCTCTGAGATGGTATGAGATGACTTCATTGGAATCGCGTTCAAAATTAGGCAGTGGGAATGGCACCGCCCACTTTTATGTGAAAACCCATATCTTGGGATCTGCTTAGCCGATTTCAACCAAATGCGATCCATAACATTCTTCTCATATTTCTATGCTATAGTGCGAAAATGGGCGATCGAATTACAATTACGCCTATTTCCCATATAACACCATTTTAAATTCCTTATGATTCTTTCACTTTCCACTATGCAAATCCAGCAACAATGATTGTATCGGGGTAAACTTTGCGTAAATAATGCGTAATGTATTGAATATATCGATATTTTAAAAGTTATTTCCATAATTGAAACCTGAAGTATGACAAAGTTTTTTACGAAAGCAGCCTATGTATAACAGTATTAGCTTTTTGGATACATTCAGTACAGCTCTTTGATATGAAAGCAAAAAACATATGCTTGGGCATTGGATGTGCGGATTCAACGGAGATTTCACATGAAGCCGTGTGTGTACATACATATCTGTTTTCTTACATATGTTGTATTAATTATATAAAGAATCGATGCTTTGAGTGGTCAAAAAATGCAGTTTCAGTCGTTCTGTGAGAACTCGTATCTTCGTGGTGAAGAGTGATCAGTCTTTGGTGGTGGTTATTTCTGATTATGGGTGTGACATGTCCAGTTTTTCTTGGATTCGGTTCGTCTTGAAAAACCCATACAGTCGACTGTTGTTTAATTTCGGGGTAATACGTGTAAACCCACAATTCATCATTAACATTTCTCTCCTTTTTTTTAGAGCGATTGACAAATTGTGTGGGATCCAACGTGAACAATCAAATGTTCATGCAATATTGAATGTATGCTGGTCCCACTGAGGCCTATAGTTGTGCCAATCTCACAATAGGTCATATGACAATCTTGCAATATTAGTTAGCGCACAGCATCAATAGTTTTCGGAGCAAGAACTGATTTTGGACGACCGTCACGAAATTTAATGGCTATACACTTATCTTTTCTTCTTAGTCTAACAACTTAACGCTACTAGTCATTATCCGAATTTTTAACTTATTTCTTACATCTCAATTGCTCTTTACACGGTAGTACTCTAATTAGAACTGTGTCTGCTACACAATCCGACAGCCCATATATATTAGATCGTTAACAAAACTTCGCCACTCGAACATTCCAGCAACTACGAATATCGATGTCTAGTTAATTCTAGCAATTTATCGTAGATTCTATTCTGGCACCTTGTTCGTCACAATATTTTAAGTTACTATAAACAACACAATTAGCGCTCGTATGTCAAAAAGTTCTGAGTATGTATAACATCAAAAAATGTCAAACTTTACAATAAAGTTGTGAGTTGCCAGACTACAACACTAGGGGTGCCAAATCCCGAAATATAAAAGGCAATCCCTACTTATAACTGTTAGTGTTTTTGCGTTCTTACTTCAAATAATTATCTGCCATATCATTCCTTCATAGCACATTAAGATAGACTTAAACACAACAAAGGATGTGAACCTTACCCAATTTGAAAAGGATGTATTCTTCCAAATCATCCACTTCAAAATTGTTAGAGCAATTCAATTTCGGACTACCCTCTGCGTCGCAAAAGATAACCTACTTATATAAATATTTTTTATTAGTTTCCTTCGCCTTAAATTTGGCAGAGTTGTGCGAATTTTGATATTTAAATCTCTTCATAACATTCATATCACTCACACGAATTTTGTCCATACCTTTACTAACAACAACCCACTGTACACTTCATCCTCGTTTCGAATTTTTAAAAGCGTTTTATGCAAAATTTAAGGCTCTACCACTTCAGCAAAAAATATGTAGAAATAGATTTTCATGTTCGTTTTCTATAAACAATGCGCGCCTCCACAAATTTACAAATTTTATAACGTATTTGACTTATTTATTATTAGAGTTATATGCGTATACATTTTTTGTGAAAAATTAAAAATTTATTGTAAATTGAAATAATTTGGAAGAATAAAATAATTTTTTTAAATGCATGACTACTCATAACTTCTCCGATACAAATTATTATTAATTGCTTACAAGTAAATTATCAGTTTATAGATTTTTATGATTAATATTATAAAATAAAAGAACACAAACATATTAAAAAGACTATGGTGATAGTAGTTTCGTTTTGCAAAAGCAAAGGAATAAGTAAACACATGAAAACTAGGTAGGCTCTTATTATTCTAAAAATGAAATTTATGTTTTCAAGGGGTTATGTAAATTATGTATGTGAGCCTGAACCACAACTATTATTTTCATTTCAATTTCAACAAAGAAATTTATTAAAAAATGTAATTGTTGTCTAAATACATAATTAGCATAATTAATGTTTAGGTTGTTTGAAAATATCATGTGTGCATAAATAATAAAATATCGGATCATAGTATCTATGGTCATAGTTCGATCGGCTTGTGTGTTTACATTTATGGCAAAATTCCGTTTGTATTTATTTATTTGTCTTTCTTAATTTTTTTTTAACTAGCTGTCTTCGGCCTCTACAAAAAATCAAACAACAGTATTTAATTCGTTTTCCTTCGGTCATTCACCCAAAGTTTCAACGTTTGGATTGAGTTTATTTATGTATACCGGTGTTTGTGCAACTATGTCATTCCGTAGTAAAATATAAGGATATCAATATATATCACACCACATCACTGATGTTAATATCTATTTATTATTTGGAATGACCTTGTTAATGGTAAACCCTTCGCTTCCAAATAAGTTATGATTTCAGGAAATTTGTTGAAATTCGATTACATATTATATATACGAGGTGAGTTGAAAAAATAACGATAATTTTAAAATTTCTCGAGTTTGGAGATTCCAATTGTAAACGAAAATCATCAAGCTCAGAAAAACATGTCTAACTTTAGCGGCTGCCATCAACAAAGTAATCAATGAATATAGATGAAAATTTTTAAACTCCCGTTATTTTCTAAATACACCTCGTATATAAAAAATCCGGACATAGTTGGAGATGTTCTCATCAGCTTTATGGATTCAGCATCTTTTGGGCTCAGTGTTTCAAGAACCAAAACTGGAAATTTAAATTTTTTTTACAAAACTAAGATAAATGTATTCTCCAAAAATAATGGTTTAATATTTTGGTAATATTTTACAGTAGAGCCAATAGTGAATACTACACTTCGGACAGAAAATCTTGTTCAAATGTACGATTTTTTAAATTATTGAATTTAACGATGACCCAGTTTTTGACCACTATACTATATTGAAAATATGGTTTTCTGTTGAAAATTAACTTACCTTTGTTCTCTCTTCCATGTTATGTGCATAAAATCATGCCGCCTTCAACCATTTAATCTATCTAGTTATGATCGGTTTTTGCGTTAACTCAATTTTTAGTTTGTAGCGTATACTCTCTGTTCGTAACAAACGTTGCTGTGGTTTTACAACAAAACAGTATACGGTAAAGTGGTAGAGGTGCATATAGAATGTGTTTGGTTGCTCGATTGAATCGTTAACATAGAACACCAAGTAGGGAATTACTCATATTCTAAAATATTCGCTACTATTTAGCAGAACTACATATGTAACCAGTTAGGAAGGACTCTTGCAACTTGCAGTTACCAAAGCCGGCTAAATTCCTTCAGGTGTTGGCAAAACCTTATATTAAAAAATTTTGCAAAAGAATTCAACATTCATTATTTGGCGAAATCCTGAACGGATTACAATCAAATTTGGTATTTTATTAAGTTACATATTTTATAGATCATATACTCATTTAGTTATATTGTTATAATGTTATATGTAGTTATCTCCAAATGTGATATACAAGTATGTGATTTAAACTCAACCGGAGAGGCTAAATTTGATATACTGAGATGAAGTGGAAAACGTCAAACAGAGGATGTTAGTTATATATTGGCTAGGTCAAGTTTTCACCCAATTTTATCCACTTTGAGCACAAAGATTTTTATTGCGTATGATGTTGATTTGAATTGGACACATAAATAGTACATTGTTTACTTTGAATTTTGTGTTAAGTTCTTGCGAGTATTTAATTTAGTTTAGGAACCCATAATTATTTAGGCGATATTTTTTAAAATATGGAACGGGGAAAACATTACTCGCAGTAAAAGACAGCGATTATATGCGAGATGAGCAAAAATGGAAAAGCTCCTGCCGATTTGCTGAAATAATGCTTAGCAGTCGAAAACCCTTATGTAATGGTCTTAATACAACAAAAACAGCCATCTTGTGGCAACAAAAGGATTTCAAGAAAAGCCATACCGCGTAAAACTGATATCAGTGGTGACAACATCATAGTACGGAAGAGCAAACCCGATCGCTTTAAGTCAGAGGAATTATGTTCGAAGTTAATGAAATATATGGTGTGGATGTGTCTAGAAAGCTTGTTGGAATACGACTTAACGAAGATCAACTTCTTGGAGGAATTTGCAGGAAAAAACCACTCCTGCGAAAACACCATATCAAAACTCGACTATTCAAAAAAAGCATTGGTCTGGGACACAATTTCATGGTATGGCGTGGGGCCAATTGTTCGCATAAATGGTAAAATAGACTGGTATCAATATTTGGGTATACCTAGAAATATAGTAGAGACATTTGTATTTGAGTTCATCCGCATAAACTGGACAATTAAGCAAGACATTGATCCGAAGCACACCGCAAAGGTAGTAAGGCATTGATTCAACAAAGATACAATTAGGATATTATATTAACCTACGCAAAGGCCGCATCTGAATCCAAAAGAAAATTTATGGAATGATGTTAAGAGAAAAATAGCAAGAAAAAGTTAAAAAATGTGGATGATGTATAGGCCGGATTTGAAGAAGCAGGAAACTGAATCCCCAAGAAACGATGTCAAAAACTGGTAGAAAGCATGCACCGAAGATGTGATGGGGAGCTAAAAATCGTGTATATAGCACAAAGTACTAATCACATGAGCAATCTTATGCTATTGCAGCAAAGAATACACCTCATGCGTACTTGTGTATTTTCCTTACTTACTGGCATTCCTAAATAAAAGCGCTGAGCGTCGTGTTTGTTACTGCTCAGCGTTAAGACCGACTCGGCATCCCTAAATAAAGCGGTAACTTTACATCAAAATCTCACTTAAATTCTAAAATTAGTACCAAAGAAATGAAATGTAAAACAAATTAATTTATTAAATTCACACATAGACACTTTGGCTGCCCGAAAGGTTATAAGGAATTCATTTGGAATTAAGAGTACCCACCGACTTGTCTTAGCTGTAGTAAATCTGAGTCCTTAATATTTTATTACTCAGAATTCTGCTTCTAATGCCATAAGCCTCTCTAACGTTTTCAGCACTGATAGTTTAGTTTTGAAATCCTTGTCAATAACATAAGAGCTCAAGTTCCCGCAAAGATTGATAATCTTCAGAATTGCTTTCTTTAATGGGTTCCTCTTCAATTAGGTAGTTGTCCTTATTCCAGTTATTTATTTCTTTTTCTGTAAAAAAAACCTAATAAAAATTTATTGTTAATTTTTTATTTTGAGTTAACACCATACTTCAGGATTTAATCCTTCGAGAATATTTGCTGCTTATTTTTCTAAGCTTTTAGCATCTGCTTTCATTTGGTTTTTCAAAACATTAGGCTGAAAGTCAAATTTATCATCGTCTTTCAGGTTGACAAAATTTAAAATATTATATTTGTCCAGCAATTCACCAAAATCTCCTGTCCCACCTTATTCCAAGCTCTACCTGAACTGAATGTTTTAGTTTTTCCTGCATTTAGGCTCAAACCACATCCACAATCTCCCCAAAGCACCCATCGAACTCAATGACTGGTGACATTTGTCGCTTGAACTTCAAATGTCTTTTTATTAGAGGAATCTCATTTTATGTCTATGATATCAGTTCAAGCTGAGTATTATAGCACTATTTCTGACAACTATGCTGATATTTCATGGCAAAGCTTAATAACAGTCATAGTGTATATGGATTTTAGTCGCCTCTTTCGACGGGCATACCTTACCGCGGACAAATTCTAACCCGCTGGGGGATTTTGTACTGGGCAGTTAAAGTGTTTAAATACTCTGGAATTTTTGGCTTTCCAATTACAAGCAATTTGATCTTGACTACTCCAGTAGCATTGGCACACGCCAAATTTGTGATACGCTATTCAGATTTCAGATTTAAGCGTACGATTTTCTTGGAACAAGTTTCCAATATTACCCGGATTCATCTGCGATCTAATTTTTTCTGGACATAGTCCGATCTCCTGATTTTTACTTTGTAACTTGGTTTTGAACGGCTTCACTAGTTCCGGTCGCGGAGATAATTTTTTCTCAGAGATTGAAATAACGCGTATACCATGACGCTTTTGAATATTTTGAAGCCATCCATCGCTGGTAAAAAAAACCTGTGCTTGCTTAACTTGACACGGCGCTCCTTAGCTTTTTATTTTAAAATTAATCCGTTGATCGTTGTAATAAAAACCATTTGTAAAATGCCTTTTTCATTGTCAGAAGTTCTGAAGTACGGAGCATTTTACGTTTCTCAGGGCCCGATAGCGTATTTTTAACACATTCTAAACATGTTTTTCTTTTCTTACAATTGAACAAGTTGTGGACTTACCTATATTGAATTTTTTGGATAGAGCTGTGGCACCTTCGTCCCATTATGCAATTAAATACACTTGATGTTAACCGCGCTTAACTTCGTTTGTCATATCAATTAAAAGCGATACAAACGTAAGAGATCAGCCGCCAGTACCGTTACTAGTCACCGATAAAGCGCTTTTAAATAAAAAAATACGCATTTAACAACAATAGGGCACGCAACGGCCGTTGCACAGCTGCTAGCTTGCTATTTCCAAAGGAACTAAAAACAAGTCTTACACTCCTGCAGTGATTACTGCCTTCACCAAGTTTGACAACAAAAAAAAAAAAAAATTAATAATCTGTAATCCTATAAGATGACCCACGATTGTTAAAAAGAATAAAATTTAACAAACTGTCAGACTTAGGAAAAAAATGTTTAACTTTACTGAAAATGAAATGATTCATGAAATTATTTACATTTTCAAAAATGAGACGACTCAACTGTCTTAGTGGTACGTTTATAGGTACTCAACGTTTTCAGCCCAAGTGTAATTAGGCTCATCGCTAGTTTCCTTTAAGTCGGTTTTGTATGAAATATATAAATAATTGTATATTTAATAATGAACAATTAGAACTGATACTCAACATTAAAGGCGTATAAAATCATTGGTTTTGCTTCATACACACTACATGCGTATACTTTCGCGCAAGTTGCCTCCTGCGTAGTTAGAAAGCAACTGACACTGTCCTCGTTTCTACCGTATAATAACTGTCGCAAGTCTGTGTGAAACACACCTACACTCAAACTCGCATAGAGATGCCGCGGCCTATGGGCTACTACAACTGAATTAATTTGAAAAATGTAGTTTTGAGAATGAACTGAGCGACTACACTTTAGACGGCTGCAACTAAAAACAAGTAAGGAAGGGCTAAGTTCGAATGTAACCGAACATTTTATACCCTCGCAAAGTTAAATGGTATATTCGTTTGAGACTTCTTTATATATTTTAATAATTAGAAGTAGGAACTGTTGCCTTAGTTATTTACTTTTCACTCACAGTGAAAATAATTAGAGCAATTTGTAAACTAAATTTACTCAAATTATGAGAAATCGTTCTTGTGCTTTTTGTATACGCTTATAATTGATTTTATATAGAATGCATTACAACTGTATTGAGAAGTATGAAAAATCCTGTAAAATTCCTATACCATTCAATTCGA